GAGATCTGTGTGGAGGAGTGGGCCAAAATCCCTGTTGCAGTGTGTGCAAACCTGGTCAAGAACTACAGGAAACGTTTGACCTCTGTAATTGCAAACAAAGGTTTCTGTACCAAATATTAACACTGATTTTCTCAGGTGTTCAAATACTTATGTTCAGCAGTGCAAGACAAATAAATTCTTTAAAAATCATACAATGTGATTTCCTGTTTTTTTTTTTTTTTATTCTGTCTCTCAGAGTGGGAATGCACCTACAATGTGAATTTCAGACCCCTCCATGATTTCTAAGTGGGAGAACCTGCAAAATCGCAGGGTGTTCAAATACTTCTGTTCCTCACTGTATCTATACTGCTTATCCTGAAGAGGGTCACAGGGGCTGGAGCCAATCCCAAATGACAATGGGCAAAATGCAGGATGCACCCTGGACAGGTCACCATTCTATCACATTTAGAGACTAACAACCACACACACTCACTCCTACGGGCAATTCAGAGTCACCAAACAAACTAAGCTGCATGTCTTTGGACTGTGGGAGGAAGCTGGAGTACCCGGAGAGAACCCGTGCAGGCACCGGGAGAATGATCAAACTCTACACAGAAAGGCCCCAGGTTGGCCGGTGGTAATGGGTAAGAGGCAAGTGGCACTTAAGTTTCATTTGTCCCACCCAGATTTAATCCTGCCAGTCTGGGGATTGAACCGACAACCTTCTGGTCACAAGCTTGCTTCTCTGAAACTGTTCTTCATCAATATTTAACCAAAACCATGATCCTTTCCCAATCTCAACCAAGTGTTTTATTGTACTTCACCTAACTACATGTGGGAGGCAGAAAACAAACCAGCATCATATTCTTTTGCTTTGTACACCCACCATCCACCCTGACCACTTCTGTGTGACTTTCAAAAACATACTTGGCAAAGACACATGCAGTAAATTTACTGTATATACTTATTTTATTTGCATTAATCACAGAGACTATTTGGCTGCTTTTATAAAAAAAAAAAGTTAAATGTTTCAAACACATCCACTTCCTGCTGCTGAGAAGTAAGCTGAAAATCTTGCACCTATGTGCTGTAGATGATAAATGCAGCAAGGACACTTTATATACTGTTAGTAAGCTCATCAAAGTCATGGTTTTCATTTGTTCATTTATTTAGTTAGATGATTGAGAATGAGCACTACAGGATATTTGAAATTGCTGTAATACCTTTTGTCAAAGCAAGAGCAGTAGAAGTCTCAGTTACAAACTCTGCTTCTTTCATGCTTTTTACTTCAATTGTTCAGAAAGCGTTGGGCTTTTGTTCAGAGAACTGCTCATGAGATAAAAGTTCCGATGCCTTTCAGAGACTTCTTCTTTATATCAAAAGCAAAATCATTTCTTTATGTGAGAAAAAAACAGCTCTCTTTAATGCGTCGATGCTGATGTGATCTACTGTTCACTAAGAAGAACTTGCAGTACACAGTAATGAGAAAGTGAAGTAGGAATGGGAAGTAGAGTTGCTGTGCTGGAATTATGTCATGATCAGTTTTATAATGATGCATATTAGTCACCATTAGTATTGGCGTACAGCTGTGGAGGGAGGGCTGTGAGCATGGAGTGGTGCATTAGTCCATCGAATGAAACTGCAACAGAGGTAGTTAGAATAGCTTCAAATGGGGAAAAAAGATTGAGAGGACACACAAGAATAGTGATATACTAATACACATATAGTTTTTTATTTGTTGGTTTTGATCATGTGACACCGACACTTTGCTTTTTCTACCCTTGTACTTCTGAATTGTACAATTAAATCAAGCTATCACCCAGAAGAAACACCAACTCTAGTCTAATGCTACACAAAGACTTCAGGATATTTGCAGTAAACTTTAATATTGTTTTTAAATATTAAAATTGTATTTTTTTTTTTTTTTTTTTTTTTTTTTTTTGCGCTCATTCAGGAAAGATACAGAAAGATGGGAGGAAGGAGTCGTGTAAACCCATACTCAAAGTGGAGTATAAGACCTCGAGGAACAGGTGTGTGCTTCTTTAACAAATATTTACATTCATTATGGTTTTATTTACTCTTAACTTTCCTGATTGAACCAAATTATAAATTGAATACAATCACAGTCCAGAGGTTGTTTCATTATAAAAATTAACATTAAATTTGCTTATGGGACCCCACTAGCTGATAAGCATAGGCCACCTACAGAAACAAAAAGCTGTTATGTTTGCAGCAAAACATTATTTATGATTATAGCCTCTGAAAATGTGCTCATGGGGTGAGTGAAATTATACACTATACAGTAAGCTTTTAACCTCTGGCATGTGCATGGAAATGGCACACCATTCCCCAGCTTTCTTTTGGTTAGGATAGGATAATGAAATGTCTATGAAGTTGTATTTAATGTAGCTTCAGTTCACCGTGCTGTGATTTGTTCCTTTGCTCCTTCTTTGGCTCATCAGTTTCAACTACTAACAGTGACACAGACCAAATAAAGCCATCCTAAATCCCTGTTCTCCCTCCACAACAGCGAGCCTTTTGTTATCTTCTCTGGAGGTCTTTCATATGACAAGGCAGGACGGCGGCCAACGTTAACCATCATGCACGGCAAGGCGATCACTGTGCTTGAGATGGACTATCCCATTGTAGAGTTCATGGCACTCTGCGAGACTCCTTACAACAATGGTAAGTGCAGAATAAACACAAGTCAAAATGGGAGTCACAGATCATTCACTTCAGGGGTTTCTGTGGTTTTAAAGCCACACAGAGAGATTTGATTTTATTAGTTCTGGTTTTGAAAGATCTGCCTGAGTTGTTTATGGTGCTCAAAGCTTATATATACAGTATATAAGTTTGGGATCACCCTAGTCTGTGCATTTCATATCATATCAAATCTTCTGGTTACATCCAAGTCACAAATCTTCTGTTTACTTAAAACTCACACACGTTAACTCTCGTTGTTGTATGAGAACACTTTTATAAGACATGGTCAAAGTCCTCAAAGACACCTTTGTCCTTCCAGTAGATAAAAAATATTCTGGCCACTGCACAGAAAAGAGAATTTAATTTGCTGTTGCGCAGCATGTGGAATGTGTTACACTGCTGCAGGATTGAGGATTCTGGAAATGTCTTCAAAACAACAACAAGTGTTGTCAAACAGCCTGAGTTATTCAAAATGTGGCTTCTTTTCTTTTTGGTCATGCCAGGAAAATTTTGTAAAAGTGATTTTTAATCTCAGTAAATTTATGTTACAATATATTTATGACCAAGATTTAACACTACAAAGCGGTCAAATGTAAATGTGATTTTTGACATTAGAATGGGAATGAGTGGCATAAATAGAGCTGTAGGTAAATGAAATATCCTAAAAACACATTTTAAATTTGTGGTTGTAAATCATGTAAATATGAATTAAGCATTATCATCTTCAGTTTGACGTTGTATCTTACAGAAATCCAGGAGCCTTACGCAGTGGTGGTGCTTTTGGAGAAGGACTTAATCGTGGTAGATCTGACACAGAGCAAGTATGTGTTTCAACATACTGTACTGTATATAAACACACCTTGCAGCAACTCAGCTGCATGTGACTGAGAGAGTTTCATCTTCTCCTGTCAACTTTTATATCACCTGGTTTCACCTCAAGGGAAGACAAAGCATATACTGTCCCATTCTTCCATAAGCTAAATCATAGTCATTGACAAAATGAAATGGTTTAAGAACTATAGCATCACTCAAATGTAGAGTTCAGGGAGAGGAAACAGTGAGATGCTCTGTCCTTTAAATGTAGACGTGTCACTTTGTAGTTTTGATAGTTTTAACGCCTAAGGTTAGAGAATACATTTGAATCGCAGCAAAACACTTTGGCCTAAATTAGGTTACATAGTTAATTAGGTTACCTAATTAGAGCTGTTAGACATAAATATGTCCTGATAAGGCTTGATGTGGTTTTAGCATGCCCTGATTGTCTTTGTCGACATTGTCAGCTCATTGATCAGCTGCTAATTGTGCTTAAATTGATCATTCTAAATTAGCCAGTGGCATGTACCTAGAGGATGTATATTTGAGAGGTGATACTCAGTGTAGAGCCTCACACTAATATTCATAAAGTTTACTGGTCAGATTTTACAGCAATGCTGTAATTCAGACACATGGAAGCACTCTTTGTACCTCACCGGGTAAAGAGGGGATTTTTTTACATTGTTAAAGCTTTTAGTAATGTCTGTCCCTGCAACCCTTAGGGATAAGGGGGTGTCGCTAAAGGATGGGTGGATGATCCTGTAACTGTTTGATGAATTTTACACCAAGATGTGTTAAAATCAAGGCAGATAAATGGCATGCAATCGCCAACAGTTCATAAACACACATTTAATTATCTTCTTGTTGTTACAGTATTTCATGAGGATTCTGTCACAGTGGCAGTAAGTTATACTATAGCAGATTATATGCATGTATCTTGCAGCTTCCCTGTCTTTGAGAACCCTTACCCGATGGACATCCATGAGTCTCCAGTTACCTGCACAGCCTATTTTGTAGACTGTCCGCCTGATATAATCCCCGTGCTCTACTCCATAGGAGCTAAACACAAGAAGACTGGCTACAGCCAAAAGGTAGGGAAGGGGAAATACTGTAAAAGGGAGTAATACCACTCTATAATGTTCAGTTTACATTCTGTAGTTTGTCAGGTTCTGTCCTGATTGATAATCCTCTTAAAGGTGCATATTGTTGTTTCCTTTGTATTATTTACATTAAGGGAACCGAACCCTGTTAACACTCATATTGTGGGGACTCTGCCACAATCACTGAATTTTAGGGTGGCCACATGGTTTAAAGTTAGGTTAGGGTTAGGCAAGTAGTGGTTATGGTTATGGTTAGGATAAGTCTACAGGAAATCAAGATCAAATATTTTTATTGTTAATCCACTATATGTGCAAATTCAAAATACCATTTCTCTCTAGTATTGAATGCCATACCATTTAGGAAACTAAAATAGAATAAAAAATAAATTAAAAATAGACTAAAAAGAAAACTGAGTCAAAGTGATTAGGATTAAACTAAACACTACAACCTAATAGGCTATGACTCAAACCATGTACAATCAGTGACAGTAGAGCAAATAATAACAAGAAGATTGTCAGAAAATTGTAAGATTGAGATGCACATGGACAGTAGTGCAAATAACCAACAGCAGCAGAGGTAGTCTTTTTATGTTCTGTGGTGGGTCACAGTCCAGGGGCAGTCCAATATACAGTAATTACTATGAGTTCAGGAATAAAGTAAATCTTGCCAACAGGATCCCATGGGAGAAAAAAAACTAAAGATGCTGTGATTGGGTTTTCAAAAATAACCAACATCCTGTCTGTAAATGTGTCAGGAGTGGCCAATCAGTGGAGGAACTTGGACGATAGGTTCCCACACCTACCCAGAGATTATCATCACAGGGTAAGTCAGAGATATTGACAGAGATATTACAAAGGTACAGGAACACCTTATATATATATATATATATACAGTATAT